ACTGTATTATGTTTTAGCGTATAAATTGGCCGCGTTTAGGGACGGACGTATGTGCACGCGTGAGTGCGCGTGTAACACGCGTATGGGAATAGAGACGCGAATTTCGTACGGAGTCCCAAGGGAAATTTTCACGGTAGTCAGCGTAAACTCTACGCTATATAATCTATTGGTACCTAGATAACAATTGACGGTTAATATCACGGTTAGGCAGCAACCATTAGTATCATTGTCGATTATGAAATGGTAACCCGGCCGCGATCGTGGACAGGAAATTATTAGCAGGTGTAACCGTATAACTGTAACAATCCCATGGAGCCAAAATAATTATACATACCGTTCAACATTTTAAACGTTACGCGCGGGTAACACGCGACTAGTTCGAAATAAGGACTTAATAATAGCGGCACGATATTAAACGAAACATAATTAATGTCGACGAAGGTGTTATTTCCGAATATTTTCAACTATTTCATCCAGTTGCATTAGATTCGTTTCAATTTCAGAAAACTTTTGAATGAGTGCAACATAATGTAAAATAAAGATTACTTGTGCCTTATGAAATCATACAAATCTTCGTTGCAAGTCTTTGCAATTCTGAACTTCGCAGAATTGTGACAACCTCCATTTCAAGAAAGTGCATTATAGTAATCTGAAATTACATTTATGATGTTCGTTCGTATTATGTCTTGCGAGTCCGGTGTAATATGTATCACGGTTTATGCAGCTGCAGCTATGTATTAGCTTCGAACTCTGCAAAGTTGCCTCCACTAAATGTCACAAGTTTAGACAGGCCGGGTTCCCAGTGACGTCCAAGTTTTCACGGTATCTCGCAGGTGAATGAGATCTTCCGTAACGTAAAATCAACGATTCAGCTGTAGGATCGGCGGCGATGCGTAAGCGGGCACGAGCTGGTAATCCAATAAAGCAACGCTTCCGGTCCATTATTCTCGTTCCACTTGCACCTCGGTGCGGAAATCGTTGACCTATCTATCCAGTCGTTATAAATCGGACCAAAGCGCTGGGCCCGTAGACGTCGCTTCGCTCGACAGCTGGTCGATATCGAACACGTCCGTTTTCTCGAGGAATGAACGTCACT